GAACTGGAAGCTTTGTGGCCTTTTGTCTTGAGATGGGGGAGTGGGGACACAAACAGCTGGTGAGGGGGAGGGAATGATGGCTCTCTTTTGGCTGTATTAATATAGACATGCCTATGGGTGATTGGCTGTGAGTCTGGAGGCTGGGGAAGACCTCTGAGCTACTAATATCACTTTAGACATTATTGTGGATGACATTTTAACCTGTGAGATTTAAGGAGGACTCCAATCTGAGCTCTCAGTGTAGTGTTCACAGAAAAAAGTATAGGTTCTGGCCAATGAGTCTGAGCAGGGGCAGGCAGTTTGGGAGGAGAGATGGCTGTGTCATAGAATTTTTTTTTTTTTCAGTTAGAAATGTATTTGGCTTCTAATAACAAAGACACAACGTAACAATGGCTGAAATCAGATAGAAGGGGTTTTCCCCCTCCATCGGGTGAAGAAGTGGATGTGGGCCAATACAGTGGCCTCACAAGTGTTGGAGACATTAGTTACCTTCTTTCTGTGTTTTGCTAGCTTTACCATGTGACCTCCATCCTCAGGGTCAACTCAGAGTCTGTTATGTCTTCTGGAGTTCCAGCCATTGCATCCGTATTCTTATAACTAGAGAGTAGAGGGAATAAAAGCTCATACCAGTGGTTCATCTTGTGCCTTCCTAGAAATTTCACTCACGTCTTCCACTATACCTCCTTGGCCACCCTCTGTGGCAAGAGAGTTTGAATAATATAGTTTTTCTGCTTCTTATTGTCCTCCTTGGCAAAATAGGCAGTTCTCCACTCATTTGTGATTCATTCTTCATGCACGCGTTCATTTATTCATGAACTAATTCAAGCACCTATCTGTTAGGTGGTAGGCTCAGGGATGTATATGCTGTTTATGCACCTGGACATGGTGACGAGGTGGCTCGGGATAAGGAGTAATATCTCTACTTGTGTCCAGTGCTGAGCGCTCCTGTGCGGGGCTCTACACGCAGGGCTCCACTTACGCCCACTTCCACCCTGTGAGCTGCTACAGCCCCACCTGCTGCGTGAAGAGAGCAGGCCTGCAGGGGTGAACCCTCATGGAGCTGAACCTGCATGGTGGTGTGTGCTGAATAGTGGCCAGCAGTGTGGCCTGCGGTGCCCTCTGCACCTGTGCTGCCAGTCACGGCAAGCCCCACAGGACCAGGGACCCTGCAGACTAGCTGACGTCGGGGACAGTTCTGTGCAGGAAGCCTCAGAACAATGAACCACTGCAAGCCAGAGGCCTGGGCACGCCCACGGAGATTTCCCTTGTGTGTTCTGGAATGTTTAGTATGGCTGACCTTGCCGGTGATTTATGAAGTACCTTAAAAATAGTTCTTACCTAGAGATAAAATACTGCCTGATTCTTGTGTGTACAATGACCATTGTACTTGTCGATGACTTCAGCTACAGTTGTTTGAAATCAGTATTATATTCACCCAGCATACTTAATAAAATAGTTTTCCCAACGAGCACCCAATTTCTGAACAGAATTTCCTCTGGTGGTACAGGGCAATGGTTCACGTGTTACCTTTAAGAGGTGATGGATAAAATGATCCTGATTACAAAGACATTGTCCACTGAATAAAACCTGCTGACTCTATTGTGTAGACACCTACATTTTTCTGGGTCTGACCTCATTCAGCTGCACGGCAGGGAACGGTTGCCCTGTCCCTGTGTGCTCTGGGATGCTCGATGCAGTCACTGTCCCCAGAGTGAGGAGCTCTCCTCCCGGTCAGGCCCCGTCCAGCTCTGGCCTGGACCTGTCTTCCCAACCCCGTCATCTACATTGAGAAGTGCCTGATGAATAATGCTTCAATTCCTGCTTCTCATTAATCAGCATCTTCTTTGTATGATCTAAGTATCTCAGAGGTCCTCAATTTTTATGTTATCAGCAGGTAGAAAGGCAGCAGCCTCTGTTAGCTCTGACCCATGTGCAGGGTTCCACCTGTTAGAAGGGCACTCTGCATGTTGGGAGCATGTGCACGTGTGCCCAAAGTCCCGACAGGATGGAGAGGTGGAGGAGAAGAGACTGCGGTGTGACCATCCCCACTGGGGGTGCTCTCTCCCTTGTTCACTTTACCTCTCTCTCTAGTGAGTACACAGGCCCTCTAGTTTATAAATAACACACAAGCACATCCTAAACAGACAGGCACGCTGACGGCTGCCCCACTGAGACATTCCCTTGCTCTCTGCACAGAATCAGTCCAGAGACCAAGATGGAGAAATGACTCACATCTCTGAATGTCACTTTTCCATTCTTTCTTTGGGGGAAAAAAAAAGAGAGACTATTTTTCTGAGAAGTTTTGGGTTCACAGAAAACTTGAGTGGAGAGTACGGAGTTTCCATGTACCCCTGCCCGACACACCCACAGCCTCCCCTGTTACCCTACTCCCCATCAGACTGGTACATTAGCTACACTGGTGCATCATAATCACTCCATGTCCTAGCATGCATTAGGGTGTGCTCTTTGTCTTGCACATGCTGTGGGTCTAGCAACTGTATGGTGACATGTGCTCATCATTCCAGAGTCACACAGAGTCGTTTCACTGCCCTACAATCCTCCGTGCTCCACTTATCATCTCTCTTCCCCCCAACCCCGGCAACTACTGACCTGTTAACCATCTCCATAGCTCTGCTGGAGTGTCATAGGGTTGGAATAACACGGCATTCAGCCTTTTCAGATTGGCTCAGGAATATGCACTTAAGGGCCCACCAGGTCTCCATGGCTCCGTAGCTCCTTTCATCTTAGCACTGAATATATTCCACAGTCTGGATGTAGCACAGTGTGTTTATCCATTCATCTACTGAAGACGTCTTGGTTGCGTCCAAGGGTTGGCAATTGTGAATAAAGCTGCTATAAACATCTGCAAAGAGTCACTTTCTTCATCAGCAGCGATGTGGGGATTTGAGAAGCATTAAACCAAACAAGACACAGGGGACCTCCAGCACCCTACTTGATGCATAACATGCTCCTCCTTCCTGTTCTGAATCACTGCCGTTATTGCTCCTGCTATTCTACTGTAGGTCGAGCACTGCTAATCTGAAGATATGAAACCCAAAACCCTCCAAAATCTAAAATTTTTGAGTATTGACCTAATGCTACAAGTGGAAAATTTCCCTTCTGATCTCATGTGATGGAGTATCCTCAAGATACTGCAATACAGAATATTGTATAAAATCTCCTTTCTGGCTAGGTGTATAAGCTGTATGCCAAACATAAATGGATTTCGCGTTTAGACTTGGGTCCCAATCCCCAGGATACCTCATTTTGTACATGTAAATATTGTGAAATCCAAGGCTATCCAAGGTCTGAAATACTCCTGGACTCAAGCATTTTGGACAAGGAGTATTCAACTGTAATGACAAACAGGCTGATGAAGACATGGCAGATAGACTTCCAGATTTCATTTTCTGGGAAGGGAAAGGAATGTGAAGTAACGTGAGTTTCCACAGAAAAGAACAGGGAAAAAGAATGCCCCTTTGAAATCACGCAACTTGTACCTTCAAGGATTTACAGAAGTATGGAAGGAAGGAGAGGAGGCTATGCATAGATTTAATTCATGGCCCTGACCTAGGGGACAAACAAGGCACTCTCCACCAGGGCACCTGTGTATCGTTGTGACTGTCAGAGGTTGGAGGCATAATCTATGAGCTATAGTCAGAAAAACGACAAGTTAAATAAAAATCACAGCACGGAAAAGGGGAGGGAGGATCACTGAGCTTAGGGCTGGGTGGGCCTTACACCCACCTTCTCCCAGTGCAGATGCTACTGTGTGTCCTTGAGGACTGTGGCATGGTGGGGACATCTGGGCTTTCTAGTTAGATACAGATCCCAGTCCTGGCTCTATTATGTGACTTTGGGGAAAGTTATTTAGTCTCTCTGATCCTCAACTTAAAAATGGCACTGGAATACCTATTGCATGGTGTTGTGGTGGGGGCTAAATGCGATCATGTTTCTGAAGATCTTCAAAGGGTGTGCAGACATGGTGGACACTGTGTATTTTTGCATCCACTGGGATGGCAGAGCAGCCAGGCATTGCTCGCTGTGGGGAACCAGGATTTTGCTGTTACAAATGTGTCCTTAGCCTAAGCAGAAGTCAATCTCCTGGTGGCTAAGTGGAAATAAATCCTTTCATATACAGAGAATGCAGACTTAGAACCTGTCTAGATTCTGTTGTGTGGAATATTTTGAGTTTGGCAGTGAATAAATGTTTTTCTGGTTCTGGCTAAAGTCCCTCTAAGAATCTCTCATGTGAGAGGAGATGGTTCTGTCACTTATCAAACCTGAGATGAGGAAATGGAGTTTGTCAAATGAAGGCACAGCCACTCTTTCAAAGCAATATAATAGAAATTGCATCTTGTTATTCTGGCGCATTTATAGCAACATTATTTCAGCAGATATTATCTCATTTATCTCTCATTATGGCCTTGCGAATTAAGCCTGCCATCCTATTTGAAAAATCTGAGTGATGCTCAGAGCAGTAATTTTACTTGTCCAGTAATTACTAGGATGTCAAACTAGTCCCAGGCCTTTCTTCTGACTTCCCCTTGAGTGCTGCATCTGTGCCCGTGTGTGCATCGCAGGGATGTGGACTCTCATGCTGCACTAGGAGGGCGTCCATGTGCATGGGTAGCAGGCACCTCTTCTGCCCACAGCACCACAGTGGGTGCAGTTTTAGACTCTCTAACTCTGTTTCTGGAGAGACACAGCAAATACAGCAGAAGCTTCATAAGACCATCTGCGAAGCTAAAAATCCACATGTTCAAGTTGCCTTGGAAACTTGAGAGTGCCAGACTTACACAGAAGCACTGACAAGTTCATTTGGGGAAGTGGTTGTTATCAAATAGGATCAAGAGGACACTGGATAGGAAAAGGAATGAAAGCATGAGTTGCCTTCTGGTGGGCGATGAGTGGACAGGCTAGAAGGCCACACAGCCTGTTCTAAAGCATGCTGGCAAGGGATCTTTAATAAGCAACTGGAGGAACAGACCATCAGATTTATAAACAGAATTGTGAAATGACCATGCAGTAGTATCCAAGCTGCCACCAGCTGTGGTCTTCTAGCAGAGCACATGGAAGGAAACATGCAATTCTCTTTGCAATCTACAAAGGATTTAAAAGCAAGCAGGTCCAGAGTCAGTAAACTGATGCCATCAGGATGGGGGCACGAGGGGAAAGTAGAGGAAAGCCATGAACGTGGAAGCAAGATTTAGAAATTATGGAAAGAACAATGCATAACTGACAGAGAGATTGTTTCAGTGAGCGATAAAAAGAAAACAAAAATTTGGGCCAGCAGGTGGTGTGGTGGATTCTAACATGGCTGACTGTGGTTCGAGTCCTGGACCTGGTGACTTGAAAAATCATGCTGGGTGTGTTTGCATGCATGCCCAAAATCTCAAGAGAATGGAGGAGAAGGGATTGTGGCATGGCTATGCCCCTGGGGGATGAGTTCATGAGTTCTCACTTTCCCTCTGTCTGGGCAAAAACCTAAAAACAAAAAAACAAACAAACAAAAAAAAAAAAAGGAAGAAAAAAGAAAACAAAATTCTAACCAGAGACAGGGCTGATGGAGAAAAAGAAAAGAAGTGAAAGAGAAAGAACAATTTAATGATTCTGGAAAGAAAGTGCTTGGCTAAGCCAAGGGGCTAACTTGAGGGGCAGAAGAAAGAAAACAAACTTCTAAGAGAAGTTGAGAATGACTTAAAGGGTGCCCAACTCATCAGTTTTGAATTAAAATTTTATGTGTAAAATTAAGTTATGTTTAGCCATTGCTGACAGGATGTGTAACATCTCTTGTCGATAATGTTTGCTGATCTGTGGATATAAAGCATAATGGCATTCAAAGTAAGTTGCCCTTCCTCCCACAGGAGGGAGGCCTGGGAGTGATTAAGCAGGACGTTTTTTGCAGCTGAAGGAGAAGGAAAGAGGTAGGGAAATAGGTGCATTTCCTATAGGCTGGACTCTAGGGATTTAGTAACCAGCCCACTAGAGGCAGCACTCTGGGGGCAGAGGTGGAAGGGGCACTGGGGAGATGGCAGACTAGATGGAAATAAAAGCAGGAGGTGGGGCTGAGGTCCCAGGGTGATGGGGTTGAGGGTGACAAATTGACTGTTACCTAGCAAGAAATTACTGGTCCAGAAACCTTAGGCAGGGGCCAGGCTGTACCGGGATGTCAAGGCCAGATTAGGCTTTATTTTTAAAAAATTTATGTATTTATTTATTATTATTATTTAAAA